TAGCTTAACCCATCCATGACATAGCTTTCTCCTGTGCACAGGAGGTTAATACTGTTGAACCTTCCTGTGTCTCTGCTGTGCATAAATAAACCACTGTGCTTCTTCCTGGACATAAATAAATTGTACATCAGTGCAAGTGAGTACTAGGCTTTGAGCTCTGTCAACCAAATGACTATAATGAAGATTATTTTTTTATTGCAAAAATGGTATAATTCTTACTTTATGGCTCTTGAGAGATTTGCAGAACAAATGGTCTTCTCTCTCCATCCCTGCAAAAGGTTCTTGAGTTCTGTCATTTAAATAGATATTGCCTAAACTTTACAAGACATATCTTCTGTGGTCCAAACTTGCACATAGGCATATGAAAAGTAGATTCCTTGTATCCAAAAGAAGCAGCATGTTCATGGTTTAATATTATTATTTTTACTACTAATTTTTGAACTGTGTTCCAGTTTATTGGACCGTGTTTCAGTCGTTGTGCTAAGCTTTTTATATCTATTAAAAATTTTAATCCTCACCACACTGCTGAGAGGCAGATGTATTGCAAAGTGCAGAGTAGATTAACTGGGTCACAGTCACAGGTTACTGCACAGAGCTGGAATCTACCTGAGCAGGGGAAGACAGGAAATGCAAAGAAAAGTATAGCGGTTCCTTCAGCATCTCCAGGTTTCTACTGAGACCAGAGTACTACCTTAGAGGACTGTGATATTGAGACCAAAGACCAGTACCTATGAGATAATAAGAGTATTGGCATCACTGTCAAAGGTGAGGGTTGGGTAGACAGATATTTGGATGCTGCGGCATTGAATTTAATGGAATTTCTGATATTGTTAAGTGTCTGATGAAGATAGTAGAATAAACCATTGGGATTTAGTTTATGCCAGGTAGTTCAGAGCCCATGTCCAATACACCTGTACCATCATAGAGAAGAGGGAGGCTTTGAAGGTTCCAGCCGCTGTGCTGAGCACTTTAATTTAGTGAACATTAACTGACCCAATCCCTGCAGCACATTAAAGTGTTGGGTTTTGGAAAAGCCCAGAGAGGTCAAGTGGCTCATTAAAGGTCATGCTGCTCAGCAGTGACTGAGCTAGCACTTGAGTCCAATCAGTGGCCGTCCTCCTTGAGCTCTTGTTGACTAATTCCAAGTTCTCAGGGGAGTTTCATGCCTGGCTTCAGTGATGCCAGTACATGCCAGTAAAGGCATTTGTCTCTCTGCCGATTGGCTTTCAAAGGGTGCTTTCTGATGGTGAGATGCACACCTTCCCACGTGGAACTGGATCAGAGTTCTGTAATCTAAGTAATTGACTTAATTTTAAGGCATCTCAAAAGAATTATGTGACTGTGGCATTAAACCCTATGAGATTAGAAACCAGGTATTCTCAGCACCTGGCAATAACTATTTGTTGAATAAATGACCTTTCCATAATCTGATTAAAAGGAATCAGACTCATGGAATTAGGATTATCTAGCAAAGATTCAGCTTCCTGGCCTGGGATGAGTTCAGTTAGTTTTTAAAATTAAATACATTTGGACATCTCTCCTTGTGTATCATTAGTAGGTTTAGCATTACGTCCTTATTTTAAAAAATAAGCGTTGTTGCCACTCGTAAGGTTCTCACATAAACCTCAATTTGGTGCTTAAGACATTGTGCTCATTTGTCCTGCTAACATGACATGCAGATATCATCATTTTTGTCTAGAAGGTGATAATTGCAGATTCAGTTACTTCTAAGAGAAAGAGATGTTTAGAAGATTGAGAGCAAAGCTGAGAATCTGGGAGTCATCTTTAACAACGTGGAAATATCCCGCAGGGAGTGTGTGCCATGAGGCGACTCTAATGTTTCCTTTGCACTTCTGGGCTTTTTGGGGGAAGATTTATTAAAACACTGTCAATTAGCTGAGCTGTGCTATATTTATAGAAATATAAAACATATATTTGTTGTATTTTTAGTGGGGTTTCTTTTTATTTATACTGGTCTACTTCATACATTTTTTTTTTTTTAGAAAGGGTATTTCAGAAAATGCTTTCAGCGATGTTGTTGTCGACTTTCACGTATGAAGCCTTAGTGCGGTTGATAACTAGAAATTTTAATTTAAGATGTCTGAAGAATGCTTTACTGTTAATTGAAAGGATTTTTTCCCCAGTATCACAGCCAATGACTCGTCTTGAGCAGCTAATTAGTGCGATTATTCCACAGCTGCATTTGCTACAGCACAAAGGTTTGCTCCTGTTTTTATCAAAAGGATCAGTCTCTCTGGGAATGTTTTAACCTGACAGGCTTTGAATAGTAAGGCTGCTTATTTATTTATTTATTTATTTTTAGATAACCGTCCCCCCTTAACCCCCACCATGCCCCTCATCACAGCTCTCCTTCTTTTCTTGGCTTAGGAGGGTACACTTGAGCTTTGAACACATACTCTAAAGTGGGAAAATATATTTTCTTTTTATGCTCTTTTTGTGAGCTGTATCAAGTGAATAGATATTTTGAGTAGAGTAACAGCCAGATGCCCTTAATATGTGGATGAGTATATGATATTAAATAATAAGCAAGGTATTAACATTGTTCGATTTGTGTGTGTGTGTGTGTAGAAAATGTAGGAAAACATGAAGGAAAGAGAAATTGTGTTTTCTGGAATGCTGAGCACTTCCAAGAGTGCCGATGTGCTGGATACAGCCACCACTTTCCCATCATATTGTCAAAATGTTGTCTATGTTGGATTCTGTCTCCTTCCTTCTAGCCAAATGGTGATTTTGATCACTCAAGTCTTTTCTTCATGTTCTTAAATTAGTATCTAGAGGCATATATTCTGCCATTGAAAAAATACTATGATTTTAGGGGAGAAAATGATAGAAAAATAAAATTACCTGTAATTCTGTTCTCACTCTGGCAACTGTAATGATCTTTACACATTCCTTACTAATCATTTTGCATATTTGTATACATGCATTTTAAATTAGAATGTAAATATACTTTTGAACCCTACTTTTAAATTTACTCTTGCAGCATACATTTCCCACTTTGCTCTGTAGTTGTGCAATTTAAAGAATAAATAGGTAGTATTTTATTGACTTCATGTATGATAATATACTAAACCATTCTCATAATCTGGGGCAAATTTTTGATGATTCAAATATTTTCCAGTTTGTAAAGAGCTTTATAATATCAGTTGTTGCAAGTTTAAGTTATTAGGAAAATTGTCTATCACAACATTTCTGAATCAAATTGTATGAACAATTTTTCAGCTTTTTGGTAATGTTGTTTTAATATATACAAGCAATGGTGTAGAGTAACATTATCCTTACACTTGTCATGGGCAGTTTGTTTAAAAACAAACAAGTAAGCTAAAAACCTTGGATCTTATCTTAAATCTTATTTTGTACCTGGCTTTTCTAAATTCATTATATTGTGTAGTTTTATTCATGTCAGTAAATATATTTTTGCACTGTTTTGAATGGCTGCATCATGTTACATTATGATTCTCTGACAATTTACTGAACTGATTTCCTGTTGTGAAAATAAGTGAACTGTTAAATTGTTATTGTGTAGTTTTTCTGGGATAGTGTGAGGGTAGAACCAACACTTCTTCATTCCCTAGCATTTTGTTACCTTCAGAGTTTGAAGTTTTTGTCTTTAAGGAGTTCATGAAGAAGGTCAATGATATTAGGGCTTTATTTTACCTTGTATTGGAAAATAAAAGATAATACTAGAGTTTACACTCAGGGAAGGATGTTCAAAGTATAAATACTTACCTTGAAGCATGACTTTCTCAAGAGTGAATATTTTCTCAAATGTTCCTTTTCTTCTGTTCCAGGTGCTAAGGCTTTGAACTGTTGACGTAAACAGAGATGTTAAAAAAAAAACACACACACACGTAAAGAGAAATAAACAATGAAACATTTTCTAGATATAATAATAGTGAAAGCAAACATTTGTTGAGGCAGTGCTATATGGTACTCACTATTCTAGGGGATTTATGTGCCTTGCTTTATTTGATCCCCCAAATCCCTAGGAAGTAGGGCTTTAAAATATACATGATGCAATAGAAATTTTAAAAGAACACCTCTCACCTTTATAAATGGTAAGTGGGTAGAAAACTATTGTTATCCTTCTTTTCCAGATATGGTAACCAAGGCAGAGAGAGGTTTAATAACTTGATATCATATTTAGGAAAACCATATTTAGGAAAATTAGGAAGTCTTTTCTTTTTAATTTGTGAGTAGAGTTTCAGCATTTTTAATAATTTTGGGTAGAGTGAATACCAAAACCATTAGAAGTAGTCCTCATGGGGAATGCACAGAGAACACATAGTAACAAAGTAGAGGGCATGCCAAAGTGAATCAGAAGAAAAGACGGCACAAAGAAAACCAGGCAGAGAAGTATTGGCTTGTCAGACCAGCTTGTCTTCTGCCCCCTTGCCCAAAGACTGAGGTCGAGTTCAGTGTTAACATTCTGGCCCAAGTGCTTCCTTCATTAATTATTTTTACTTCACATATCTTAGAAAAGTTTCCTCTTGGCAAAGCTCACCTTTGTTTTAATCAATTCCTTGTTAGTAAACATTTTAGTCATCTTCAAAGAACTTAGATAACATGTAGGAGTAGTTATTTGGTTAGATTCAGTTGTACAAAAAAGCAAATCAAGCAATTTATTTTTAAATGTGGAAATTTGGGTGCCATTAAGATGCTTTGCTTCTTGGCAGTGCATATGGCGGCGCTATATTTGGTGGTGATGAGTAGTGTGCAGCATAAAATGTCAAAAAAAAAAAAAAATTAAGCCGCCTGATAAAAATGCCTAGATGCAATCAAGCTGACTTATTTTAATTCAACTACTAATGACTTAAATCCTGTCACCTCTTGATTTTCAATTATGTGGAGTACCATTCCGTGACTTGATTATATTTGCACAGACTCATTTTATAGTTTGGTGCAATTTAGGATACCCCAAAGTGCAAATGGAGGGTCTCATTAGGAAACTAAATGTATGCCTTTTGGTTTTCCCACAGCAGTTCCGCGGAGCATCCTGGGGCCTCCAAGCCTCCGATAAGCTCCTCCAGTATGACATCACGCATCTTGCTACGCCAGCAACTCATGCGTGAGCAGATGCAGGAGCAGGAGCGAAGGGAGCAGCAGCAGAAGCTGCAGGCGGCCCAGTTCATGCAACAGAGAGTGCCTGTGAATCAGACACCAGCCATAAACGTCAGTGTGCCCACCACCCTTCCCTCTGCCACCCAGGTGCCGATGGAAGTCCTTAAGGTATGTGAGTGTCGCTCTGGTTGGTTAGACCAAACTCTCTTCTATTTTCCATTTGCTAGGTGTTCTGTATATCTGAATGTGTATTTCCGTTAGAGTGGCCCATCAGAATTATATTTGAAAGCTCCAACTCCCTTAATTTTTACATGGCTTTACATTTTAAAAGAAGGATGCAAACGCATTGTAACTGTAATAGTAACCCTCAATAAATGGTGGGAAAGAGTCAATGTTCCATGAGAAATTGCAAGTAGGAATACGTGTTTGTTGTAATGACATCTGTCTTTGGGAAAGTTTCAAAACATAAGAGTTATCTGAGATCGGCCCCTTCTAATAACTTGTGTATCTTAAATATTTTTTCTTAAATACCTTCCATAGCCACTCTTTAATTTTCTTTTTATTTAATATGTAATATTGGTTGTAGAATCTGACTCTTTTAGAAAGCTCTTCAGATATAAGACTGAAGAAGAGCTTTCTGAGCTTTAATAACCAGACTACATAATCCTTTTACTGAAGTGAGCTGTCTGCTTTGGGTCTCTTTGATTTCTTGCTAGAGTAGAAACTGCAGGAGCTTGTTAGCATCATTCTGTTAGGGACATATAGCTTCCTAATTACTAGGGAAAATTGTAACAAGTCTAAGAATAGAATTCCATCTTACACATGTGTCTTCCACATCACATAGGGAGGTACTCCTTGTTTAAGGATAAACATTTCAGTTTTTAAATATGACTGATTCAAGGAAAGTTGAAAGTAGGGGAACTTCCTTATTTTTATTTTTTTAATTTTATTATTTACTCACCTAATTGATTCATTCCGAAAAGTCTCAAGTGTTACTGTTCATTAAACAATGTGAACTTTACAGGCCGGTGATTCATTATTAGTTTTTGCATTCGTTCATGTGCACAGAAAAAACATCTCCCACTATTTAAAGTTTACTATTAAAGTAAATAGAGAGACGATGTGTTATAATCAGGAATCAATCTGTGAACCTTACCAGGAAGTAGGAAAGAGGTTCTTTAAAAAACAAATCAAGAGTCAGTTATGTTTTAGTTGCGAAGACTTTAAATGTGGTGATGATGAAATAATGGAACTCGGATGAAGAAACCAACTGAAATTGGGTTAGGGCAAAAAAGATCCAAATGGTTTAGCATAAAATTTTACTCTAATGTGATTGTTTGAAATTCTGAATATGGCCACAATTAATGGATTTTTTCCCCTTTTTTTAACTCCTCAATTAACCCAAGATTTTCTCTTTGGAATTGATGACGCATTGAATCTTTCTGTTTTGCTTGCATGAAAATTGATGATCACTATTTGAGTTTTTATAAATTTAAGTATTATTTAAGATTTAAGTTGTTGTCTCATGTCTGCAGGAGTGTAATTGTTTTGTGTATACCTTAGGTTATTTAAAATTTTATGAGTTAAATAGTATAAGATGTGGAGAAATATGTCTATTTTATTTATCATGATAGTTTACTTTTTAAATTTCAAGGGCAAATTTTGGAAGAGTTGATGTGGATTTGGGCTAGTAGTGGTTCACATCCAATTGAAGGTAATGTTTGATACCATGTTAAAGTATATTTATTAAAATTAGTATTCCTGTTAAGGCAGCTACGACTGATAGAAAGGAAATTACTCAAATGAAAATGTGTTGAAACATCATTTTCTGATTATCTTAAAAATGTGCATAATTTCTAAATGTTTTTATCACTTTATATTAGTTTTGAAAATGATTAAAATTGAAATCTACATTAAGTTGTTTGAATAACGTAACAATTTTTTTATGTGTTGCTGTGTCCTGGTAACACTGGATTGAGCTGCAATCCCTAACTTAGGTATGCCAGAAAAATGTCCAAAGTTAAAGCACAAATAAATCGTTACAACTGGAAGACAGACTCTAACTAAAAATAAGTATTTGGTAAATTTCTCTTTTATATTGAATATAGTTCATGTCTGTTTAACTTTTGCTTTTTTATACTTCAGTTAAATAATTATTGGCATAACTATATGGTTAAGTTTGATAGTGATTTAGGCAAATTTTAGTATCCTTAAATTAAGAAACAAATAAGAATATATTATTTCACTAAGGTAATATTTTAAGAAAACAAAATAACATTTTAAAAGAATATCATATAAGTGATTGCTTCAGATACTTAAAGACTAAGGACTTTATAGAAATAGTTGGCAGTTTCAAAATTTTGTGTATAAAAGTATTATGAAACATTATAGAAAGATACGTGATAGAAAGGTGGTTATTTTTTTCTTTTTTATAGTTTTCAAATCATAAGCATAGTTTTATGAAGTAAATGGTTAATAGCAAAACAGTTAATATGCTTAATCTTAGACCATTTAATTCTCCATGAATATATATTTTCAAAGAATGGTAATACCACATATACAAATTGAGTGCATTATGATACAGATTATATTGAATAAGTATTTTCTCATAGAATAGCCTGAGCAAATTCATTTAATTTTTAAAGTTTTAAAGTGCTGAAACAGAACATACCTACTTCTCAGTGGAGGTAGATGTATGCAGTTAGTCACACTAACATGCACTAAAGAATCTGGTTAAATCTCTCCATCTCCCAACTTGTTTATAAGAAACTGAGAGAAGAAAGGTCACAGTTTAGTTTTCATACCCGCCCAAAGTTAAGTTACTAACATTCTACTGTCTGGATGAATGACTAATTTCAAAAAGCTAAAGCAATGTTTTCAGGTTAATCCCTTTCTTTGACAGAGTTAAATTTAAAATATGAAGCTTTATAAGGCATGTTTAAAAATTACTGACATCTGGTAAACTTAGGACTAGTCAGATTTGGGGTTAGAGGTAGAAAATCTGCATCACTAATTCTTCAACACATGGTCGTTATGCAGTGAGTAAGTTCATGAATCTTTGTAGGATTAGCCTCTGGTTTCTATATTGATTTAATAATATATGAATTTTTCTCCACATTGATTTTCATTTTGGTGGACATGGAATGATTAGTCTTATTGCTATATATTTACATAGCAAAGATATTCTCCACGTTTCTTAGGAACAATCTTACCCAATTGGGTATTGTAATTTAAGGATGCTCTTTTACCGTAAATTAACCAACACCTGGAGTGCATAATGCATTTTTTTGTAGTGGGAATACACTTTGTATTTTGAATTGTGAATTAACAACAACAAAAAAAAGTCATCAAGAACCATTAATGGAATCAGTTTCTTCCACAAGTGGGTTTTGTTGACATGCAAGTAATACAAACCTGAAGTTTGAAATTTGATGTAGCTTTTTTTCATAAAATAAAAAAGAGTAACTGTGAACAGACCTGTAGACCAGTTCAGCCTTATTGCTAAAGCATCATGGTACAAACCACCGAGTTAATCATTTGCATAGGCATCATGCATCTGTTTTCATGGTTTTGTCTCTCTGACATTGATGAATTATAAAAACACTTGGTTGCTCTCATCCTGGACTGACAAGTTCATCAGGATTTCTTCCCCCACTATCTCCCAACATGGACTCTGACAGTTGATAGCTTCAAAACATTAGTTTACAGCTTGAAAATGTTTCTCTGTTCAGAAATCTGAAGGGAGTTGCCAAGGATTCCCCACTACCACTCTCTCTCCTTCCTTTCCTTTCACCTTGAAATTTAAAATTTCAAAGGCAAAGGCAAAGTGTCTTCTCTGGAACAGATTGTCCATTGAATTTTTCTGTTCTGCTTAAGAGAAAGGTTACGTGCATTTTAAAAAGAAAAGATTTTTTTTTATTACTTTAGGGTATTTCTCAAGTACTTTGAAGAAATTTATTTTTAAATTCTCCCTTTTCTCCAAATCATCTCAAGAGTTGGGCAAATTGCTCTGTAATTAGTGATGATGCTTGCTGTTTGTCAAATACAGAAGCACTTTTTCTGGGCTCCTCTACATTGTAAACTAAATTTACTTGGGTGTTTATTTGGTGGTTATCTCATCAAAGTTGCCTCTTATTTGGATTCAGATTCTAGCGAAGTGGGCTGGGAGTCCTGCTCCTTGTCACCCTGTTTCAAGAACTGACATTCCACATTTCACTAGTGAGTGGAAGAGTTGATGACTGAACTGCTGGTCTTTGCAAATTATGGAATCTGCATGGAGTAGAATTTTCAAGGTGTGATTTATTTTTTAGGTAGAACACAGAAACATGAAAATGTGTGTGTGGAGTTACAGGTGGATTGGTGGGCTACAGATTGGCAGAAGGGACTTCTCCCACAACCTACCCTTAGATTTTGTTTCAGATTTATTTAGCCAGGAATACAGATCCTAAATAGCACCACAGTGGCTGCAAGAAGCCAGAACAGATATAGTTTGTCTCGGATCAGCTTGCCTTGGTCCCTTCAGTTAGGGGATCCCTTGCTAGAGGTGTTATTCTCACAAGATGAAGACCTGCTGTGTCTGAGATTTCTTCTAATAGCACAATCCATTCACACATGGGCCAGCATACACTTATGTCCCCTATAGTGTGACTTACACAAACAACCTGTCAGCCTTGATTTCAAGGATCATTCATAAATATTGGTTCCTTTTGTTTTTGAATCAATGTTGGTGTTTCAGGGAGAGAAAGGGACTCAGATTTCAGGTTCTACAAACAACTCTTCATCCTCCCAGAAACCTCATTTCCCTGCAGAATCTGAATCATTCAGTGTCACACAAAAGGTAATTTTCTCTCTCTTTAAAACTCATGTTATTGATTTTTTTAAGTTGCAGACAATACTTGTTAACTTTTAACAGATTTAAACAGTGCAGCAAAATAATTCAATATCTTACCCTGCCTACCACCACCTCCCTTCCATCATGTTCCCTGGAAGGAACTGCAGTTAACAGTCTAGGGTGCAGCCTTCCTGATATTTTCTGTTTTCCAACCCTGTCACCAATTGCCTTTTATAGGAGTGAGGTCTGAAGAAATATATTAGGCGGGTTTTGTCAGGTAGATATAAACCCTTTATTTTTCTTTGTTCATGTTTGCAAACAGAAAAAAAGAAATATA